GATAATACTATACTTTAATAATTAGCTTCAACTGACAGAGAAACTGTCTACTCCAGGTCAAACATGTGATAAAGATAATACTATACTTTAATAATTAGCTTCAACTGACAGAAAAACTGTCTATTCCAGGTCAAACATATGATAAAGATAATACTATACTTTAATAATTAGCTTCAACTGACAGAAAAACTATCTACTCCAGGTCAAACATATGATAAAGATAATACTATACTTTTATAATTAGCTTCAACTGACAGAAAAACTATCTACTCCAGGTCAAACATATGATAAAGATAATACTATACTTTAATAATTAGCTTCAACTGACAGAAAAACTATCTACTCCAGGTCAAACATATGATAAAGATAATACGATCTTTTGATAACTGGTTTCAATTGTTTGCTCCGATATAACCATATGATAAAAATAGTAAGACCTTTTTTGAGGTCAAGTGTAAATTGACATTGAAATTATATGTAGTTTCATACAAGATAATTATGACTATCACCTAGAAATAACAATACTGTGTGTATTCTCATAAAAGCTTTCCGTGAAAATCATAAAACTTAATGAAACTCAGTTCAAAACTACGGAAATTAACATTTTTATTCTGCAATAAGTAATACATATTACACTAGTTTCAGAAAAATCACTTAGAACTTAAAAAATATTGTTGATACAAAATCCTTTTGTCTATTACTGCTTGGACTATTAACTTTGATCTTGTTTGGTGTGTCTTAAGTTTAACATTAATCCTTCAAGGTGAACGTGCTTTAAAAGTAACAACGAATCAACAGCTCTTCAAGAACTGTACTGATTCAAAATCGCGTTCGTAAATGTTGGAGTGATCGAAAATTTTCAGTTGTACTTAATGATTTGCTTATTTTGTTTTTCCCTGTCACTAGTGTTAGTTGTTAGATTGCGATCTTCTAGATGTAGATGGATTTCTTTAGTCTCAAGATATTAGATTCCCCTTAAAATTTGTACAAAGAAACAGAGATAAGATAAATAAAAACTTACCTTGCGAAAGAAGAGTAGTACGTTAATCGATCTTGTTCGAGAGGTGTTGATCTCGTTGACCTGTAGCTCAGAAAAGTTGGACAAAACTGGCGATGATAAGAAAGATCTCAGTGTGGATATACTAAGAGGTCGTTGCTCGTTTTCCTTAAACGTACTCGAAACTATTAAAGTTCGAAGCTTCCGCATTTCCAAATTACACCTCGGGAGGGCACTTTCCCTGCAAACCTACTGGTGACTAATGAAACACTAACAAAGAGAAACTTAACTTCTCATCAGGGGAGGATATAGAAACAGCTTTAATGTTTAAGTAAATGAGTGTTTGGTTATATTAAATTAAGAGGTCGCTGTAATCGACTCCGCACGAGGAAGTGGAAGAAAGCTGGATTTACATCTTAATGCCATATTATTAATAACGAAATTACGTTGTGCTCCATAGCTAACGAACATAATAATACACATTTCATCGTGTTTATTTCTTTTTTAACCAATTTATTATTATTACTAAGAAAGGCAAGTATGGTATAAATGTCGTTAAATGTCGACAGTAGTCTAATTAAATAAAGGTTTAAAGATCGTAAATATAAAAACATTTCGAAAGAACGTTGCTTCGTCGGTGAAGAATCATTTATTTCAATAATGACACGTGCTTGTTCATTTCTTTTCAAAACGGATTCAAAGGGCCCCCTGCTGAACCCTCGTGTAATTTCTGAGTACTAAGATTTACATATCAAATTCAACGCTGGATAAATAACTATTAAATCTCTGCTACTGAAATTTATATTAATTAAAACAATAAAAGTAACTAATAACGCGACCTACCCATCAGGCATTATCATTCACCTTGGGCGAGATTTGGAACTGTTCCCCACCCACAGTAATCTCGCCTATTTCATTCACTATCTGAAGATGGAAATTTGCCATTCACTGTAACGTAGATAACATTCAATGAATATAAGCATGCTAAATGAATTATTCCAGTTATATATATATGCCAGGTGGTTAGGGCGTTTGCCTCGTAATCTTAGGATTGCGGTTTCGAATCCCCATCCCACCAAACATGCTCACCCTTTCAGCCGTGGG